GACAGTTGAATGGAAACTTGTATAACAAAAAAGAGAAACTTATTAAATTAAAATAACGTTATCCGGGTTTATGATGCAGCCAAGTCCCTGTGGTGCCCATTGGTCTCCAAAGGCCTTGACCGTGCCAGTGAGTATTGCGTGCTCCCTCACTAAGGATAGCAGAGTGTGGATGTAACCATGAAAGAGGGCCAGACAGTCAGGAATGGCAAGCCCCTTTCATGGCCTGCTCCTTTGACCTGTCGATGACCACCTTAGCCAGGCCCAGGAGCAGACCCACAAGAAGGCTTTCTGACCGGTGTGCCCCTCCCCACAACAGGAGCCCGTAGATCAGGAGCGTGGGACTAAAATTTAAGGAGCAGCCCTTCCAAAAAGTTAAAAAGGGGCTGCAAATGGAAAAATTCTAAATATATATGACAAGCGGTTTCCTCCAGGCAACAAAAACTGCACTTGGCCTGGCACCCAGTGAACTCACTCAGTCTACAATTGCACGGGACTGCTGTGTAGAGCACTCTCCACTCCACCCCATGTCACATCAAAGCAAATTCGAGTGGTGGGCAAAGGTGGGGAAGCAGAAAGTGTGCAGCAGCAGCCTGGGGCATGGGCAGGATTTCCCCAAGAAGATTCAGATTGTGGTGCGTCACATTGTGGCAGAAGGGGTCTGTTGCGCATGGCTGATGTTGAGTTCTGGATGGACATAAGTCAATTTGTCCAGAAGCCCACCACATGCCTGAGCCGTTGCAATTTCACGTGAGGTGTCAGGGCCGAGTACCTTGTTCCTCAGACTCTGGATGGCTCGGGTCAAAAACAGGACATTGGACAATGACCTCTTGGCCAGCTGCGCTCCGTCCACCATCTAACGTGTCTCTGACTCTGGGCAGCCCAGTGCCCCGAGCCTTCCCCTCCATCAGCCAGCAGAGACCACAATGTTGGAGGAACCTGTTCCTGAGCAGCGGCTCATGTACGAGAGCCGCCACTCCTGTGGGGAGAGCTCCAGCGTGAAACCACCGTGACCCAGACTTTGATTGGGTCAAGTATAAGACAGGCAATTCCCACAGGAAGGTCCAAAGAAAGGACAACTTCGTGAACAGAAAGTGCATGTTGTAACAGAGGCTGCACACCTGACAGAAGAAATACGTCATCAGGGTGCTCCACCTCAGAGGAAGCTCGATATGAAAGGTATCGCTGCAGGGTCTGAAGGCGGAACGTTACTGCCTGGGTGCAGAGGCACATCAGCAACTGAGTCAGATTTTACACTGTCCAATAGCTGTATCAAAATTGCTAATAACAGTTTTGCCCTGTTAGACTTAAATGGAAATAAAATCACAGAGACATATTCAGGACTTTCCAATGTTCACCAAATATGGCAAAGGTAGAAATTTACCTCTTTGCGAACAGCTGGCATTGCTAAAAGGCTGGACAGCTATGGCAAAAACCATTTGTTATAACCAAATGCAAAAGCAATATCCCATGGCTGTACAGCGGGGAGATGCTTGGGTGAATCATTAAAAACAGCTCAGTGATGCCAAGTTAATATTAAACAATGCAGACATTTGGGCCTGGAGATTACAATTATATCTCAATTTTAGATCTATCACCCATTAAAAAAAGGGAAACAGGCGATGGAAAATTCTTCTGTATTTCTTGGTGGGTGACTGAGAGTGGAATCAATTGCAATCCAGGAGCAGATCACCTACCAACTATAATTAATTAAGGTCAGAGGAACCAGAACTGTGAAAGCATGAAGTGGGAGGGAACTTAACTACAAAAAAAAAGTTTGGTTCAGTCAGACTTAGTTTCATTTTGAATTTTACGTTCAGGAAAAATTATGACTATTCAAATAATGTCTTGCTTCTTATAAAATAAAAAGCAAAATAAAAGATCTGAACTAAAACTGGAATACAAGAACTGGACTGGCCATACAGTGGCTACAAGAGGAGGTCAGAGGCTAGAATCTTACAGTGAGTAACTCACTTCTTGACTCCCCAGAGCCTTTCCATCGCCAACAAGGCACAAGTCAGGAGTGTGATGGAATACCACCCACTTGCCTGGATGAGTGCAGGCCCAACAACACTCAAGAAGCTTGACACCATCCAGGACAAAACAGCCCGCTTGATTGGCACCACACCCACAAGCATCCACTCCCTCCACCACCGAGGGTCAGTAGCAGCAGTGCCTAATATCTACAAGATGCACTGCAGAAATTCACCAAAGATTCCTTAGACACACCTTCCAAACCCATGATCACTCCCATCTAGAAGGTTAAGTGCAGCAGGTACGTGGGAACACCAACACCTGCAGGTAACCCTCCAAGTCATTCACCATCCAGACTTGGAAATATGTCACTGTTCCTTCAGAAGGAAGGTGATGCCCTTGAGAAGGTGATGGTGAGCTGCCTTCTTGAATCACCGCAGTCCATGTATAAGTAGACTCCAGCTAAAAATAAATGGGTATCCACTAGGTCTATGTGAAAACTTCAAACAAAATGGTAGCAGGACACTAAGTTTAGCCTTGTGATTTGCAGAGTGCTATCAGCCTGTTACTGCATAGTAGAGGCCCTGAATATCGGCTCATACGTCTTTCAACACTGGAGTCAGAGAAAACTGCTGCTCAGAATGAAAGGAAAAGAATTGAGGCAATGATCCAGAAAAATTACCCCAAATAAATTGCATAGGGAAGCGATCATATAACCAAGAATGATTACAATTCATGAAAGTCTTAAAAAGGAGAACATCCCATGTGATGGAGTCCTTCCTTTGGTTGACAGAAAATCTCAGTTGTTGATGCTTGGAAAACGAATGGCAGACATTGTTGCAGTTTCAGTAGGAATCCAGCAGATGGCTGTCTTTGCTCTACTTTTACTTCAGAAAAGCATTCTGCGATGATTCAATTTCCAATTCACAAAAAGACATATGGCAACATACTGTGTAACTAGAGGTTATTCAAAGTAGTTGTCTCATACTGGAACCACAACCATAAAATCCCCAGGGCAATGAACCTGAAATCACTTTAAGCACCAGTTCCCTTAAGGGCTCCTAAAGTTCTATAAATCTTTAAAATTAAAGTAAATGCAATCCAAACTATTTTCTCAACAACTAAAATACAAATTTATACTGTGAGGGAATGAATTTCTGAGAGAGACTCTCTCTTTGTTTGCTGTAACTTCAGTACAACAGTCACATATACCAGATGACCAATGTAATCATCCTTTATACTGTTTTTCGGGGGATTCTGCAGCTCTTTTCAAGTTGTGGTAAACAAGCAAAAGGCCCTCTCTGAAATTCATCCCCAATGTTTTTAGCACAAGTAACACTGCAATCAGGCTGAAAATGCCTATTTAGAGACTGAGGTGATTAGTATGACTCTGCCTGGAAAAGGGCACCGATTTGTTTTTAGAAATGCACATGCATAAGAATGTGACATCATAAAGGATAAAGTAAACATACATTTGGTGGATTACAAAAGTACCTGTGAAGCTGTTTTGACTGGTCCCTTTTCTGCAGCAGAGATGTTAGTTTTATTAGTCATAGACCGCGAAGAAGACAGAGATGAAGAGGCAAGAGTTTTGTTATTTTTAGAAGATAGTTTCTCAGTGGAAAGCCTACTCTGGACCCCAAGTGGTTGCGATTTGCGGGCAATTGGTTTTGGTGGTGGAACGTTGTCGTACAGGTCAGTGCTGTCACCATGAACTTCCTCATACCACAGCGTGCTAGCGTTAGTAGTGAAAACCTCCTGCTCCTGTGATATACAACATAGAACAAGCTTCAGCTGTTAGAAGGAATGACATGCAGACTACATGTCTTCAATTTGGCAAAAAGATATTGCAATACTGTGATATAGCCAAAGTATTGAATGGTAAAGGAACACTGCTCACATTCTTACTGCATGCTCTAACTCACTGTTAGCATAATTTATATAACTTTCTTTTGTTGTTCATGCCTTGAATCATATCCTGAAATGTAACTTTAATTGAAATATTCTTTGGGCACACCATTTGATTCAGCGTTGAGGTACTTTTAGAGCAGTATTTAAATTTAGATCCATCAGACTCAAACAATATTTTTTACATAGCTTTGAATATCAAAAGACCAGAGCACTGGGGAAGAACCAATGATCATGGTACAAAGTGTGAAAAGACCTTTTTTTCTGGCTCTGTCCAGTAATGGGCTTCAAATAATAAATGTGATTCAGAACCATTGCATTAAAAATACCCAAGTTTCATCACATCATCAAAAATAGATTCCGAATGCTAGTTGCCATCTCTGAGCATAATTGAAGCATAAAATGTTACAGAATGATCACATTATCATTTTGCTGCTTAAAATACTTCACAAATTTCAACTCAATTTGGATTGAGAGAGCTGTGGATAGTAAATTACTCAACGATTTCAATACAAACCTGTGCAGTCAAAAGTTTTTAATGTTCTCAAAATTTTAACAACTGTTTATCTTATCTTTGCAGTGCTTTGTCACAAAATGGTACTAGACTTACCAGTGGGGGGGATTCAGTGCATTCACTTATTTAACCAGATGACCAGAGTGCTGGCAAAGACTAATTAGCCTGTATTTATAATTAAACAAATTTGTTCTCAGTTCATGGTATGATTAACTCCTTATTGAGGTAATATTTTCTGCAGTTACTTCAAGGCAAACTATATTTTCTATTTGGAAATTGAATTAATTTAAGACTGAAAGCATAATTTTATATAAAGAATTCATGTTTTGGTTTAATCCTTACAATGAAAAGCCTTTATAAATTCTTACATAAACCAAACTGTAAAATTTCTTCCCCACCAGACTATTTTAAGCTCTGTTAACAGCAAGTTAAAAATTTTTGCAAGGACAAATAAAAGAGATGCATTTGTGCCTTAAGAAATTGTCTATATTGTCCCCTGGACCTAAGAAAAGAATGCCCGAGATGCGTTGTTGAACTTACAACTAGTTTCTAGGCATTGATTGGTTCTAATTTTGCATAAGAAAGACTGCTAATTCAAATGCCTTACTGTTCCATTTAGGCAAGGTACATCATCATAATGAAGAGAAATTCCACGCGGGCATGCATATCCATTAGGCATGTTGCCACCATATCTATTTGGTGATATCGACCGTCTGTGTAATAAACTGAAAAAGAAAAACAAAATTGGCAAATGATCAATATCTATATCATGCATGTTCCGGTAGAAACAAATGGCCCTTTCATAATAATTCCACTGTAAGTTCACTGCGACAGCAAGGCCAGAAACTAAACTGGAGCTTGGATAGCCTGGATCCTGGTTTTCCTTGCCAGTTTCCCTGAAGCTTTGGTCAGAGTCCAAGGTAAGAGACATAGGATGCAAAGTGGGCGGGGTGAGAGAAGGGGGTAAAAGCCACTAGGTGGTAACAGATTGTCTCTCAGCACATGTAAATGGGGTACACCAAAGATTTAGACTTTTTTTTCTATTCTGTATTCTTTATAAACAAAGCAAATGCGTCAGACTGAAACATATATCTGGGAGAAGTCTTGAAACCTCAGAGTGGAGACTCTCCGCTAAATGTACTGCCTTCCTTTATGGGCATTTGGGATGTATTTCTAAAGATGTAAGCACCTGACAATGACAAACAAGCATGAAAATCAAAAAATAAAATGGTATTGACATTCATTTTCCCATGGTCCACAGAGAAGGAAGATAAGCGACTTTCCTTCACAGTTCTACCAAGGCTTCTACGAACAGAGGTTGGAAATGGATGAAAGTGGGATAATTCCGATCCATAACTCCTATCTATGAAGATTATCACCTATATCCACAACGGTGTTGTTGAATTGAGATCTCTTCACATGAAGAATCACAGGTAGAAACCAGCATCTGATTACACAGTGATGTAGTAGATTTCTAATACGGTGTGTAATATTGCACTGTTAAGATTAACAAAGTACTACATACAGTGAGTAACGTATCAGCTGCAATACACATATATGAAGCCAATGTGTTAGTCACTGTATGTAGTACTTTACTAATTCCTTGTTATACAAATGTTGCATAGTGTACCCAAACCTGATGCACTGATAGACCACACATAGAGCAAAGTATAACCTTACACAAGCCACAAAAATATATTTCATACAATTGTAAAAGCTGTAAAGGTAAAGACCAGTAATCCAGACAAGTGAAGTGCTCTGGCCTGCAGGCTGTAGGTTGGGCACTCCTAGTGTAATGTATAAAACTCAATAAAATTTCTAAGAAAAATATCTGCTTTTACTTAATCAGTTAAGTCTTAAATTCAAACAGCTTTTGCTTTGCTGACAGCTATCCTATATTGTGTAGTTGCTTGTGTATAAATAATTTATAACTAATGGATTGCAATGCTTAAAAAATTCTATAGAACGATACAGAGAAGGAAGCCAGTGACCCATTGTGCTTGTGCCAGATATTTGCAGGAGGTATTCAATTAGTCCCACTCTCCCATTTTTATCTTACAGCCTGATAACATTTTTTTTCCCCTTTTCAAGTATCCAACTCTTTTTTTAAAACGTTATTACTGAATCTGATTCAACCATCTATTCGGGTAGTACATTTCATACAGACCATAATAACGCCCAGCAAAAGAAGTATTGTAAATCTCTACCCTCTAAGTATCTAACCACTGGCAGTGGAAACACATTCTCTTTACTTACTACTTCAAAACGCTTCATAACTTTGAACACCTCTATTAAATCTCCCATTATTCTGCTTCAAGAAGAAGAACAAGCAGCTCAGGTCTGATCTTGTCACTTGATTGAAATAATTAATCCCTGGTATCATTCTGAACTCTCTGATGTTCCCCCTCTCCCTAAGAGCTCTCAATAAAGCATCAACTGTTTGCTACAAGACTATTTTACTACGGCATCATGAAAATAAGAAGAATGGGGTACCAGGATAATTTTAATCAGAAAAACTGTCCAAATTTACAAATTAAGAAAACGGTGTTTTCATTTTTTAAAATTTTACCAGAAGTCAGTTATTTATGTTGAAGATAAGTTCTTACTTGAAGCACTGTTTTGCAGTTTGTATAACACTTGAAGTTGTTTCTACATCAATATAATCATAGTGTAGGGCTGCTGGGTCTGTGGAAGAACCAGTTTCAGATAATAACACACCGAGCCACCTTCCTAGCTCCTCTCCTGAAGAGGTCTGCACAAACAAGAGGTTGAATATTTAGTTGTAGCTTATCAATAAAGGTGTGATCAATGAAAACCAATTTACTTGGCACAGAAGACACATTTATAATTTTTTATGCATATAACACACCTAAATAATCTATCAGCAAATACGGCCATACTAGTCTGAAAAACCGCAACTCATCCCTCACACCCCGTCCCCGCAATAAGAACCAAAAAAGAATCCCCCTCGTCCTCACGTATCACCCCACCAACCTCCAGATCCAACGCATCATCCTCCGACACTTCCGCCATCTGCAATCCAACCCCACCACCAAAGACATTTTCCCTCCCCACCCTTATCTGCTTTCCGGAGGGACCACTCTCTCCGTGACTCCCTTGTCCATTCCACACTCCCCTCCAGCCCCACCGCACCCAGCACTTTTCCCTGCAACCGCAGGAAGTGCTACACCTGCCCCTACACCTCCCCCCTCACCCCCATCCCGGGCCCCAAGAAGACTTTCCACATCAAGCAGATGTTCACCTGCACATCTGCTAATGTGGTGTACTGCATCCGCTGTACCCGTTGTGGCCTCCTCTACATCGGGGAAACCAAGCGGAGGCTTGGGGACCGCTTTGCAGAACACCGACGCTCGGTTCGCAATAAACAACTGCACCTCCCAGTCGCGAACCATTTCAACTCCCCCTCCCACTCCTCAGACGACATGTCCATCCTGGGCCTCCTGCAGTGCCACAACGATGCCACCCGAAGGTTTCAGGAACAGCACCTCATATTCCACTTGGGAGCCCTGCAGCCCAATGGTATCAATGTGGATTTCACAAGCTTCAAAATCTCCCCTCCCCCTACCGCATCCCAAAACTAGCCCAGCTTGTCCCCGCCTCCCAAACCTGTCCTTCCTCCCACCTATCCCCTCCTCCCACCTCAAGCTGCAACCCCATTTCCTACCTACTAACCTCATCCCGCCCCCTTGACCTGTCCGTCCTCCCTGGACTGACCTATCTCCTCCCTACCTCCCCACCTACACTCACCTTTACTGGCTCCATCCCCGCCTCTTTAACCTGTCTGGTTCCTCTCCACCTATCTTCTCCTCTATCCATCTTCTATCCGCCTCCCCCTCTCTCCCTATTTATTTCAGAACCCCCTTCCCCTCTCCCATTTCTGATGAAGGGTCTAGGCCCGAAATGTCAGCCTTACTGCTCCTATGATGCTGCTTGGCCTGCTGTGTTCATCCAGCATCTGCAGTTCCCACTATCTCTGATGCATTTTATTATGTTGACTTTTGTCTTTTTAGTACCTTAAGAGCATTGTTTAGCATTACAGCTTTTAAAATAGATAGACTGTCTGTAGTAAAATATCTACAGGAGTAATTGCAAATGAATTCAGAACCTGCAAATTTAAATAAATGATAAGAAATGTTCCAAGTGTTTCTCTATGTGATATTTAAACTGGCTGCTTGGATCTAACCAATGATAATAATTTGCGGACATTATCAATTATTAGTAGCAATTACAACATCTTATTCAGCACTTTAACATGTGAGTGTGTTACTAAGGCACTCACAGGAGTATGATAAAACAAAAGCATGACACCAAACCATGGAAGCAAATATTAGGTAACATGACCAAAAGGTTGGTGAATGCATCTCAGAGGAGTAAAGCAAGATGAAGGAGAGAAGAATTCTTGAGGTTGGAGCCTAGGCAACTGAAATCACAACCAGCAGCATTGAAGAAATTATGTTTGAAAACGCACGAGGTAAGAAATATAGGAGCTGATTTCTTAGAGGTGCGTGGAGTTTCAGAATATTACAGAGATAGGAATGGGTAAGGTCATAAAAGGGAGTTGAAATAAAGGATGAGAATTGACATTGCCAATGTAGGTCAGCCAGCACAGGGGTGATTGGAAAATGGAACTAGAGAGAGTTAAGACAAGAGTGGATGAGCTTTTGGTGACTCTGGTTTACAGAGGTGAGAACATAGAAGGCCAGCTAGGAGTGCAACACTTGGGAAATCAAGGGAATTGACAGAGAAATAGGACCTGACATATATGGAAACTGACTTGGTGCTTGTTGGTCACCGCGAGGCAACATGTAGATGTGGGAGATGGAGAAGATATCGTAGAGGAGTTAGGGAGGGCAAAAGGAGTTTGAGGAGACTGCTTATTATGAAGAGAACTGCGAATAATTCTTCAGGAACTTGAGCATAATCTCGGGGTTGTGTAAGAATTTGACTGAACAGAAGGCTAAAATCTTGAATAAATTATTTGGGCAGTCAGTTTTATTTCAATTTATAGTTCCTTAATCCAACTTAAGGAACTGAAAGCAGATATGTAACTATGTACCCATAAGTACGGAAGCTGGCATGGACAAGTTGGGCCAAAGGGACTGTTTCCATGCTGTATACCTCTATGACTCAATGCACTTCCAGTCAGCCTCCCATGCACCCGTGTTATAGGGCACCATGGCGGTGGGAAGTTATCTTCCCTCACTGATCTTGAGGTAAGTTCAATTGCTCTCATGTTCGTCGATAGAACATACCTTTCAATGTCAGTACTTACGGGTACCTAGTTACATATTTGTTTTCAGTTCCTTAACGTAGATTAAGGAACTATAAATTGAAACAAAACTGACTGCCCAAATAATTTATTCAAGATTTTAGTCTACTCACTTCCAACTACTGGATTTGAGCAGACAATCTATGCTGATATTTCAGTTCAGTATTATTTGTTTAATGAGGTGTCATCTTTGGTTAGGAATTTAAACAGAGCCAATCTTTTCATTCAGGCCAGTCCAAAGGATCCCCCAGCATTAGTTGAAGACGAATAGGAAAATTTCCTGGTGCTCTCAATAAACATTAATACATTAACTAGTCATTTATCTCATTATGTTGGAGGAACTTTACTATATGGAAAATGGCTACCTCTACACTGTCCCGATTGAACACTGCCACAGGGTACAGCAGATGGTAGCAACCTTCTTCTCATTTTGCTGGGTGTTCCTCCAGCAGTTGCTGAGACTGCGGTGACCTTGGTGGCAACCTTGGACCAACTGGCAGGGTGCAACGTCATGGCCTGCTCTGGCAGTCCTGGGGGAAGATGATGGAGATGATGGCCGACCCCTGCACTACTCCATCCACCAGGATATCCAGGTCCCTGCCTGCAAAGCAGGGAAACCAACTTCTCCTTGTTGCCATGTTCAGGGCATTCGTCACAAACTGTGCACAGCAGCTCTGGTGATAACATTTGACCAGATGCACAACAGCCTTTTGAGAATGGCACTGGCCCCAGGGAGCCCAGGTATCCTGGCAGTACTGAGAACTGACAATGGCAAGTGTGAGAATCAGCCTATCACAGGATGAAAGGGGTACTACAGAGATGCGATAGGTGGTAATGAGGCAGGTTTGTGATAATAGTGTGAAGAAACTGACTAAGCCTCATGGAGAGAAGCCCTCCATAAAACTTGATGAAAATGCCTCCTTGCAAAAATATAAGAATCAGCACTATACTTCAAAAGTAATGCATGGTCTGTGACGTACTTACGAACAATTTGAAAATATGAAAACCTTTATATAAACACAAATTCTTTCCTTCTATACTCAATTTCACTAAGGTTTAAATCCATATCACACCAAAACTGCCTCATTCAACTGGTTAAGGCTTTTACTCAAACTTCAGTTTTCTTTGAGTAATATTTCTGACTGTCCTTTAAAATGCCCCTATATAATTTTGCTACAACAATCATGTGCATGAATGTAGCTGCTGAGATTGAGGGACTGTATTCTATTCTCTGACCACAAACTACAGGAAAAGAATGAAGCTGCTTTCAGATCAACGGCCCAGGATCAAAACATATCCACTCTTACTTTCTGATGACTTCTAGCCCGAGTATTCCTGGAAAGGAGCTTTTTGTTATAAAGATGTCCAAGAATCCTTGAATCCAAAAGCGGGCAAGATCATTGCAAAAATTGTTGTTTAAACATTCAATGGACACGTTGAAAGCTTCTGTGAATAGGACAGATGTCAGGGAAGGGGAGGGGACAGTGTGTGCAGAGGTGAAGCAGATAGTGAGAGAGAGGGTAGGGACAAGGTGAATGATGGAGGGATAGGGCACCACCGTGCATGGGCAGATGGTAGAAGGGGTGCACAATCTGGTGGTTCTGCCAGGAGCGGGTCAGGGTACGTCAGGCTGAAGTGTTGCGTTGAGTCAGACTGGATCAGGTCAGGTCATCGAAGAAGGGATATGTTGGGCACGGTCAGGTTGAGGGATGGTGGGTGTCAAGTCAGCAGTTTTTGGAGAGGTACGAGAACGTTGGTTTGTGGGGTCAATGCTGTCAGGCCCATGGATGTCAATGTTTGTGGGGGAGGGGTGATGTTGGGGGTGGCTGAGTGGGTCAGGGGTTCGATTTTATATTTGCTCAGAAGGTTGTGTAGGTTTGTAAACCTTTAATGTTTCATTGTCAACTACTAAGCTTAGGCAAGCCTCAGACATCCAAATTCTCTCACTTTAATGGAGATCACAAGGTGAATGGGAATTAGAATTTTCAATTTTCCGAGCAATTCCCTCAGAGTCAGCTGTGTCAGGATTCTGAGTGATCCTGATGTGCAACTTCAGTCTATGCTGCTGGAATGAGCGCCTTCCCACCAGAATTTCTGGGCCTGCATTCTTAATTCAAGGTTAGGTATTTGAATTGTTTGGTTCCTTGTAAACTTTTAGTGCATATTTGTTATCTATAAAACATTCATTGTTTTCTCCCCCCTCCCACTCCGAGTTTTGGGATGTCTGCAAGCATTTATAAAAATGTCTAGGCCACAAAGAGCCTACAAAACAGCACATTCATTATAACTACTACAATATCCTCACTTCCTTGAATGCTTGTGAAAGCATCACTGAGATCCATTTCTGAATTTTTGTTTTGCTCTGCAACCATGTGCCAAGGAAAGCATGGCATATGATACATTGTTTAACACACTTTAGTCTCCAACTACAATTCTGCACGCACAAGTTGTAAAGTAAATAT